ACCAAAGCAGCAGAACAAGCACAGAAGAGCGAAGTTGAAAGCAGATTTGCAAAGCCTAAATCACATCAGTTGATCGTTTATCTGTTATGGTGCAACGAATCCATCGATGACAACATAATTTTTCTAGCAGCACGAGACACCAAAGCAGCAGAACAGCAGAACAAGCACGGAAGAGCGAAGTCGAAATCAGATTTGCAAAGCCTAAATCACATCAATTGATCGTTTATCTGTTACGGTGCAACGACTCCATCGATGACAAACACAGAAGACCGAAGTCGAAAGCAGATTTGCAAAGCCTAAATGGCATCAATTGAGGAAGGAATGCATCAAAGTCTCTTGATATAGTAGCTAAAACTGGAGCTGTAGAGAGATAAGTTTTAACATCTTGCATTTTGAATTCTCCTTGATTCTGAATAAAACAAATATATTCAGCCTCCTGATGAGTCGGTGAAACTCCGACGAAACAGTTTGTCACAGCCCCTCGTTTGTTGTCCTCTTCTCTCTCTCTGCCTACGGTTTACCGGGCAGTTCTGTTTGTGACGATATATATATCCAATATTGCATTTTATTTCTTTTAATTCATAGATTAAAAAATGAGAGTGAAATAGAAAGTCTGACTTCGTGCCTCTGCTTATCGACTGCTCTCTAGAGTGACTGTGTTGTGCCCACCGATACTAGATCCCCTTCTACTCTTCGTACCGCCGATACTATATCCCCATCTACTCTACGTACTACCCCAGTTTCTCTTTGTCTCTCGCTCTTTTTTTTTTTTTTTCTTTTTTTTTCTTTTTTTCTTTTTTAAACAAAGCTCCATCTATTGGTGGGGAGCAGTCTCTCGCTCTCTTCTATCTCTGTCCACTCATCTTCTTTCCCTACGATGCTGCAGCGTCTGACGCCGACATGCATGTGCACTCTTTTGCCACCGCCAGGTAAGTTGCACCTCCCGTCACTCTCCTCTTCCCTGCGGCGCCCTCACACCTGCGCTTGCTTCCATTGCAGCTATGGCTGCAGCTAGTAGTGCTGCTGTGCTGTTGCAGGGTTTTGGATTCTACCGCTATGCTGCGCTAAAATTAGCTCATGGTGGTTTACAACCTCCAAAGTACCAAATGTCTTTCCGGCCCGGCCTCTGTTGATTTTGTTTGAACCAAAAGAGTAGCCCCTGTAATTTTCTGCGGCTACGGATTGGTCCGGTCCTGTAGTGCGAAGAGACACTGAGAATAAAAAAGAAATAAGAAAGATAGAATCTTTTAACCATATATTTCTTCCTCTATTGTTTTTATAATATTCTTTTTATTTCAAATATTTTTGCCATCTAAAAAAATACCATCTACAATAAATCGTGTAATATTTTGTCTATGGATGCATCATCCGTTCCATGTGAACGTGCCAACACACATCAAATATGTTCCGTCAGACACCGCGCACACACAGCACGACGTTGAAGATGGTGCAGCCCCACAAAAATATTTTCACGGACGTGCTTATTCAAGATCGCGGGCCTGGTTCAATTGCACCATCGAGTTCAGCATGAAACTTGCCACAAACGCCGTCCCTCGCTGCTACAAAGGATGCAGGTCAGACAGAGTTCAACACAGTCTTCATGTGCGCTACATCAGGGAGGAGTTAGGTTTCATAAGGATAAACAAGCTCCTGTGTAGAAGAGAGGAGGAGGCATGGCGGACCCCCCATTTTTCAGGTCAATTTATAAGAAAACCATAAGGCCATTTCAAGCAAACTCCACTTCACGTACACACTCAAGAGGCGGTCTCCGGTTCAAGACTTCACAATGACGGCTGCTTACGACAGGATATGGCAACAGACATATGACAAAGCAGACAAGGCAGCAACAACAGCGATATGTCCTGGGATCGAATCGCGCCAGACCAGGAAGGTGAAATCCTTTCACTCCTAGCTTCTCGCTTTCAAGGTTAGCTGCAGAAACAGATCGCTAGTACATGCATTCTAGTCATTCGTGTCAAATACGTGGATTCTTTTCTGCTGTCGTATATTATAACCAGCAACTACTTTGTGTGCTGCTTTCTGCAGATCCGATCTACTATACCACCGGTCCTCTTGAGGACTGTCTTGAAACAAATACTAAAAAACCTGTATTGTTTTGTGTGTCTTCCTCTACCTCCTCCCAAGTCAGTTTCTTCTTCAATGCTTTGCATATCATAAGAACTATCCATGGCAGGTGAGGTGGTATCATCGAACTTTGAGAAGGGAACTCGTCAGACTGTGTTAGAGGGCAACAACTCAGAAGCACGGAAGAAGACACAGGATATGTTTTCAGATGGTGCGGTACATCCATAACCTCATATGACACACCATCAGCATCAGCGTTAACTCTCTCCCAAGATCGTAGATATGCAGGTATGAGTTTTTGTTATATTGCTTCTTCAGGGGCGTTGAACAGGCCCACAAAAAGGAATTGCTTAGTTCTGCGATCATAGCGATTTGCAGACTGGATTGTTTTCTGCTGTTCATGAGGTATCTTCTTGGTGACCCTGCGCAGGTCGGCCTTATACACTGATGCAAATTCTTTCGTCTCAGGCCGGAAGCCTCTGTATCTGATCAGGAGTTAGCAGCTTTATAGGCCTTCTGGGTTGCCCACTCTTATGCAACTCGCTAGGTGTCTTTTTTTTTTTTTTTTTTTTTTTTTTTACTGTACAAAAAACAACGCTCCAGTCTATTGGTGGGGAGCTGCACCTGCAGGAAAACGGGTCCAGCATCCGATATACAAAATTTGTTGAGATCTGAGAATGAATAGAAAGAGAACGATGCCTCTTCAGCCCAATCGAGGCCGCCAAATAGACTTTACTACCGTCTTCACACCAAAATAACGCCCGGGCGTTATATTTAACTAATCCTTAAAAAATCAGATTTTTGTTTTTGCTCACTTTTTTTTTAATAGAATGCCCCTTCGAATATAACGCCTGTTATATTCGAATAGAACGTCCGGGCTTTGTAATTGAATGTTCCATGGGCAGAGAGCCTTGTAAAGGGAGTATACATGGGTTTTAAAGGGGGGAAAGGGAGGTATCCATGGGTTTTAAAGGGGGTGGGAAGGGGTTTTGACATCCAAAGGGTATGTTTTGGTTTGAATTTTTCATTTCCTTTTTTTTTGTATCTCCGAATTTGTAAGGGATTCTGAAGTGACGCTAGACCAAACGTTGGTTGCAGTGACGTTCTAGACGGCATATTTTTTTTACAGATTTTTTTTTTTTTTGGGTTTTATGGGCCCCACCAAAGTTGCCACCTATTTACTGAATATAACGCCCGGGCGTTATAAACGAATATGACCTTGTCCTCCCGACCCATCCAAGCCCTGATAGCTTACGAACAACAACAAGTAATTGCCAACATCCACTCTTCAACAACAGATGGATCAAGGATTCTGAAGGACACACGTTGCATTGTATGGACTCTCCTTGGAAGGGGTGGGTGAAAAATGGGATCCTCGGAATAGGCGATATTTGGTGTGAGGAGTCCAAAAATTAGTATACCGTGTCACAAATTAAACCCAATCTGAGCTATTGTTGACACACGTCGGAAGCATTCGAAACTTTAATTGAGTTAATCCCTCTAGATTGGGTGAGAATCCTTAAACGAGGATCAAGTATTAAGGAAGGAGACTGGATGGGTATATTACATGCTAACACCCAGCAGGTTGGTAATGTAGTGCTCGTTGGGGAAGAACGGGAGATCATTCTTCTGTTGTTTGCCCTAGGTCAGACTCGTGTTCTCCAGTGCCCTCAGCCTCAAGAGACCAAAGCATTTCAAGTGGATGAGGTATTCAGAACAAGGGTATTGCAAGACAAAGACAAATGGCTGGCATTTAAGCCATCCACGTCGATTGATAAGCTCCCTCAGGATCCTGTGTTCATGAGCTCTTCATACCTTATCAGTAAAGTCTACCTATCGGATGCTGAGACCTTCGCTACACCTGAGGGATAGAGTACAATCTCGTTGGATGAAAACATTTGAATATCAGCAAAGATTCCCTACGTTCAATTAAATGGTT